TGTCCAACACTCCACCACGTAACAGACAACCTGCTGTCTGACACTCCCACCACTTAACAGACAACGTGCTGTCTAACACTCCACCACGTAACAGACAACATGCTGTCCAACACTCCACCACGTAACAGACAACCTGCTGTCTGACACTCCCACCACTTAACAGACAACGTGCTGTCTAACACTCCACCACGTAACAGACAACATGCTGTCTAACACTCCACCACGTAACAGACAACATGCTGTCTAACACTCCACCACGTAACAGACAACGTGCTGTCTAACACTCCACCACGTAACAGACAACCTGCTGTCTGACACTCCCACCACGTAACAGACAACTCCAAACCATAATTCCTGCTTTGTTAAAGAAAACAAAAGTCCAAACAGAGAATCAAATTTACAAAGCTCCCGCTGTTGGTCTGACAACAGATGGCTGGATGTCACGGACTACACAAAGCTAGCTGTCTGTAACGACACAAATACGCCGATGTCATTAATCTAGCGGATATCTGGCCTCCTCCGAAGATATGAGAGAGCGTGACCTTCTTTCACAGAAACACAACAGCAGCCCACGTGTTAAAGACTAAAGGAGCTTCTGCAGCTTCCTGTACACAATGAATCCATCATTAGTCAAAGTAAAACAGAACATACTTTATGATGGCATTTCTGCTTCTTTGATGTACTGAACCGTGGCACCCCTAATATATATATAAATATAGTGTATATATAAGTATATATATATACGGTATATATACTTATATGTATGTTTATATATTTATATATATATATATATATATATATATATATATATATATATATATACATAAACAGCTCTGTGATTATAACAGACTGAGTTCAGACTTAGAGCTGTGGTTTGCTGCCTTTGATGTTCCTCTGTCCTTTAATCCTCGTCCCTAACCCTTTAACCTCTAGGCGGTCAGGATGGTTCCTCTGTCCTTTCATCCTCGTCCCTAACCCTTTAACCTCTAGGCGGTCAGCATGGTTCCTCTGTCCTTTCATCCTCGTCCCTAACCCTTTAACCTCTAGGCGGTCAGGATGGTTCCTCTGTCCTTTAATCCTCGTCCCTAACCCTTTAACCTCTAGGTGGTCAGCATGGTTCCTCTGTCCTTTCATCCTCGTCCCAAACCCTTTAACCTCTAGGTGGTCAGCATGGTTCCTCTGTCCTTTCATCCTCGTCCCAAACCCTTTAACCTCCCTGTGGTCAGCGTGGTTCCTCTGTTCTTTCATCCTCGTCCCTAACCCTTTCACCTCTCGGTGGTCAGCATGGTTCCTCTGTCCTTTAATCCTCGTCCCTATCCCTAATCCTCCTCAGATAAACCCGACCCCCCAGCCCGGGTCCCTGCAGCCTCAGACGTGCGGCGGTCCAGTCTGACCCTGTCTTGGTACGGGCCGACCTACGACGGAGGCAGCGCCGTGCAGTCCTACAACCTGGAGACCTGGGACTCTTTGGAGCCGCAGTGGAAACACCTGGTGTCCTGCAACAGCACCTCCTACAACGTACAGGTGAGCTGTTGTTGTTGTTAGCAACTGGCTGTCAGACCTTAGGTGGGGCCCACATCCTAGAGGAGAAGTAACGTTGGTGTGTCCGTCTCTTAGAACCTTCTTCCAGAGCGTCAGTATAAGTTTCGTGTTCGGGCCGAGAACATCTACGGAGTCGGAGAACCGAGTGCCGAATCTGTGCCGGTGACCGTCGGCCTGGTGGATGATGGTGAGTGAACTATCTGATTCTCATAGTTCTATAAGACTATGAACAGAGGTTTGTTCCAGTCTGAGAACTTCTGTGGTCCATCTAGGCCTAAACCAGGACTAAGTCTACTAAACTAAACCAGGACTAAGTCTACTGAAGTAAACCAGGACTAAGTCTACTAAACAAAACCGGGACTACGTCTACTAAACTAAACCAGGAATAAGTCTACAAAACTATACCAGGACTAAGTCTACTTAACTAAACCAGGACTAAGTCTACTTAACTAAACCAGGACATAGTCTACTAAACTAAACCAGTACTGAGTCTACTTAACTAAACCAGGACGTAGTCGACTAAACTAAACCAGGACTTAGTCGACTAAACTAAACCAGGGCTAAGTATACTTAACTAAACCAGGACTAAGTCTACTAAACTAAACCAGGACTTAATCTACTAAACTAAAC